GCAATGTGTATTATCCTCCTTTTTCTTTTTTATTGTAAAAAAAAAAGTCAAGACAAGAACAACAACCATTTTGCATTTATTTACATTTACATAAATTGGACTAAAACAATAAAAAAAAAAGATTGCTTTGTAATTTTTTTAATAAAATGATATGAGTAAAAACAAGGAGTTCTCATTTTAAGAGTAAATCAAGAATTAATTTCAACCGAAACTAAGCTTGTATTTTTTTATAATCATATTTTAATAGGATGTTACATTTCAGCACATTTTAATGAGTTTAGTTTAAAATACTTTTTCCTCCCTCCATTAATTGGTTTAGAATTTAAGTCCTGATTTTAAAAGTGTCATCTATAAAATCAGGACTCCACATAAGAAGGTATCATTATCTCCCCTTATACTTTTTGTTCATAAAAGTGGTGGCACAAATGGATGCAGACTTGACCAATGTCTGTCCTCACCTGTCTAGCATGTGAATAGCTGCCTTTTCCCCCCTTAATAATCTTCTTGCATGTATGGTTGTTCTTTATTTATGTTCTGTCTCTGTCAAAGCATCCACTTGCCACCCACCACTTTGTTGATCTCCTCTTATAATTACTTACACATCTTTTCTTGGCATTATCTGCATATTTTGAATCTTTTCTTTTGTATTTCTGACTAACTTTTCAGGTTTGAGTAACAAAAACAGCAAAGAAATATTTGAAGTTTAGTCATTTGGACTGTTAGACATATCATTTTTATTTTGTGTCCATAATATTTAATTTCTGCATCATTGATATACAGGGTGCGATGGATAAATTATCATCAAAATTGTGCAAAAATGAAAATAACACTGACATCGCATTTTAACAGATATATTTACCAAAATTATGCAAAGTCATCTTGAAATACTAAAAAATAAATCTATTCAATAAAATCGCCATATAAATATAAAAATAAAGACGTTGGCACCTGACAGAGTAAGGGTTAGCAAGCAATCCTCGCATTCCACTTATTGTTTTTAACTACTGTTCACTAAATACAAGGCTCAAGAGCCACTCATGGTAGAAGGTTGCTCAATGAGGTATGCAAGAGTAGGATGTGAGTGTTATGAGGATATGGAGGATAGATAACAGTTGACCCTTGAATTGTGGAGTTTAAGATTATAGCATTCAGGGAAGCATTCTCACAAGAGTCTGTTCTACAAAGCAGCAGAAAAAAAGCTGAGAGGAATGTCATCCTTACAATTAGAACATGGAGGTAATGAGTGGTTCAACTCTATGGATGCAGTGTGGCAGATCTTAGCTCTAAAGATGTCTGAATTGGTAGATCTAAAGAATGGAGCTTGTCCAAACATTTGCTATGGAAATAGTGATAAAGTAGTGACAGGCTTGTGATGATGCCTGAGGGAGAGGGGCTGTAGGAAGAAAATATATCATCAGCCACAAGGCTGCATTTTAAACAACTTTAGACTTAATAAGGCTGGAAAGTGAAGATTGGGCAGCTGACCATTTTTTCATCATCTTTCAGGCAATGGATCATATTTCAGCTTAAGGCCTGGAGTGAACTTTAGTTTCAATAGATGTTTGAAACAAGAAGTCTCATTGAGAGAGCAGCTGTTCTTTGTGACTGAAGATAAATACTTGCTGGATACCTTGCTCTTGTTCTAGACTATGCTTAGATAAATAAATAACTATAGTTTGGAGAATGGATCTTCAGTGCTAGGGTTATCATTAAGATATTGGCTGTTATATAAAATCAGGGCTGATGCATACTATCAATCCTGATTGGGCCCAAGCTGTGCTTTGTGACTCTTGCTATATTATCAACATTTGCTTTTTTTTTCTGCCTATATTTATATATGTTACAAATTAAACTAAGCATAACTATTAAAGGATGGCAAATCTTCACAGATCTTGACTTTATTCTGGGGATTTTTTTTTCCTTTTCATCTAAATCTGTGAATTTGTTTTGTTCATGCTAAGCCTCAAAAAAACACTATATAAAATTCACTATATTTTATCCATAATGTTGAATGTGTTAAAATTCAACATTTTGATAATAAAAAATCTCAAGTTGATGCTAAAAATTGCCAAAATTGATTTTTTTTTTTTTTTTTTTTTTTAAAGATGGAATGATCTATTAGGACATGTCTTTAATTTGTATTTATTTTTGATTTTTCGAGTTGAATTGGTTCACCTATATTGCATATGATCTATTATTGTACATAATTAGATTACAATAAAATTTGTATTTTATATGAATACTACCTTATGAAAATTGAGATATAGTAGAGAAGGGGTCCTGTATCATAGATTGGTGGGTGCACGAGACCCAGGACCCTTGCACCAGTCCTGAATAAGATAACTATAATTTGCTTGATTCTAAATTAAAAATTGATATTTCAAATGATGTAACTGAAATTCCTTTCCATATTTTGGGAAAAGTTTTAAAGAAAAAGCATAAAGATAGCCAAAGGATAAATGCTATTTTTTTGTTTTATGTTACTATAATAGACAATGGATACTATATTAGTTTTAATGTTATGAATTAAAACACAATGCCCCAATGCATAAACTTCAAATATTTTTGTTGAAATTTCTTAATTCTTTGTTTAAACTTTAATGAAAATAATTTTTTTTTTTTTTATTTCTCTCAATGAAGGGGAATATTTTGGGTGTCATGTTTAAATGAATATATGTTACAAAAAGATTTTTCTTTTTAATATTTTTAAAGATTTCTGATGATATCTTTACACATTTTTAAGATTTAAAAACATCTGTGATACACAGAACAAGAAAATGTTATTAACATAATTGAAAAATATGTTCCCTCTAAAAATTGGTTTTGGCACTTTTGACCAGAAACAATAAAAAATAATTTTTTCTGTTGATTTTGAAGATCTGCCATAAAGGAAATTCTTTGGCATAAGATGTATATAACATCTTCATGAAGTATTTAATTCATTGAAATTACTGTATTTCCACCCATATAAAATATACATTTTTCATCCCCTTTCTTTCCTATCTAAAAAAAAGATTTCCTCCAAAAATCACCCTTCATCTTATACAAAGATTATTGGGTTAGGACATAAGACTAATACTTAAACAGCCCTGTGTGCCACATGTGTCCCCTAGTGGTTCTATAATGAAAGACGTATGATTGTAAATGATTAAATTATGATTAAAAAAAATCAAAACTGTTAAAATCGATATTTATAAGTATGAAGGACTCATCTGTTGAATAATATACATTGCCAAATTATAGGTGCATGTTATATGATGGGAAATATGGTATGTCAATTTAAAAATCTCATGAAATAAAGATTTAATCTAATGAACAAATATGAAATAATTTGAGCTGTTCAAGGAAGACGAAATATTGAAATGTTTTAATTTATAAATTTTCACAAAACAAAATGAATCTAATTCATTTACATTATAAAATATTGTTATTGGCTGCATGAATTTTAATTTTTGGGCATTTTGGTTATTTGGTATGTATTTTTAAGAATATTAAAATTACTTTTAAGTTTAAAAAAAAATAAAATAAAGACTGCTTTACAATATATAACAATCAAACATTGACTATATTTCCTCAGGTAAACATCTATTTTGTCTGATCATATTCTATTTTACTAAATATTGTTATATCAAAATATAATATTATTAAACTTTATATAATGTGTGTGTGTGTGTGTGTATATACACAAACAAAAATTAATTCTAAAAGTTAATCAAATTATTTGTAAACTGACTTTCATGTCAACTTGCAAATTTGATTTTCTGATAAAAATTATATTTGACAATTGGCAAATGTATTTTGAAGGCAGACATTTTTAATGCTTAGCTGGTATTAGAAAAATGGCTAAAATAAAAAAAATAGTCTACACAAATCAATTTATTTAGTTTCCATTACACTGTGGGGAGGAGATAATGTACTCCATCCCCACAGGAAATAGGTAAAGTGTTTTTAAATTCAGTTGGTTCTTATCCCTTTTATGAATATTTTTTTGTTAAATTAAAAATTTCATGGAAGTAGCAAGTTAATAAACAGATTTAGAAATGTGCATTTGAGAACCAGTTATTTTCCTCATCTTTTTAATAATTTGGAAAATTGGGTTCAAGCCTTTGCAGCTAACTTTATTAGCATATTATATTAAAATGAATTTGTCTATAATCTATTTGTCACGAGGTTTTCAAATTTTTTAATCTCAAAATGGATGTGTGGGGTATTGTAAGGGTTAGTGGCTTGGAAAAAAAAATTAATGTGGCCAGTTCAAATTCTGACCAAGTTCATTATGTCCTAAGTACCTTTGGGGAAAGGTATGAATAGTTCTACCCCTCACCCCAACACAGCAATGGGTTAAATAGCAGTGCAGAGAGAGTTCTCTAGCCTTGGATGGCAATCAGTCTAGGCAATTCACAAAACCAGCTTCAAGAGTGACGGGCTCTCAAGCTATTTTGCCCTAGATACACTCACTTCTGCTACAGCTGCAATGCATTGGGGTACCAACAACCCTAATGGGTTACAGGACTCGGCATGAGCAGATGCATCAGCTATGTTTATTGTTAATAACTACCTTATAATAAGTTTGAGGGGGTCAGAAAATTTCCTGGAAAAAAAATGTCCTCCTGCCTTCTGTTAGTACTTAAGAGAATTATAGAAGTGGTATGATGGTAGACAAGAAGTTAGATTAAGGGTTAATTTCTTTTAGTAGCCTTTGATATGAATGGTAGCTGATTTTGACATATTAGTAAACACACACTAAAATATTTCAGTTAAATAATTTTTATGTTCACAAGTAGTCATTATAAAAATTATTTTTTATTTCGTGTTTAAAAGTTTCTTTTACTATCTTTGTCCTATAATAATTTTTATACACACATTATTTCACAATATAACAATTATTAGGGAACAGATAGCATTTTTTTTTTTCTTGTTTGGTTATTTACACTGACAAATTATCTTGGTGCCATTTTGAATGTAAATGTTTAATCGATTTCCTATTTTTGCTGCTTCAGGTACCAAGTTGGTGTTGCCAAAGCCGCCCGACACAGAAAGGTAGGAGGCCAACATTCTCTTCCCTGAAAGAGAAACCAGTTTGTCTATTTCCATTTTCTTTTTCTTTTATCTTTTGAGCCTTCTGGGTTTCATTTTGCATTGGTTGTTTGGTCATAGACCGAACATTTTTCTGATTTTTGTTAATCTTCAGGGACAGAAAAATAAACCAATAATGGTGTTATGGTGGAAGAGTCGATTTGAGCTATTCATATTTCAGGAGTTCCATTAATGATTTTTTTATTTATTTATTTATTTTATTTAAATGAAGCATTCCCATGGTAGCTTTAAATTGAATAAAATAAAATTCTGTTTTTAAATTAGTTTAAATTTGTCTTTAATAAAAACATTGTGTGTAAAGAAAAAAATTACCAAAAATGTTTATCCGTAGATAAAACTAGAAAATTATCTTTGATTAAATTTATGTAAAAAAATTTTCCAATATAAATATTGTATATTCTGTACATGTACACATGGTATATAAATTCATAAAATCTGATTTTTTTTTTTTTTTTTTTTTTTTTTTTTTAAATTTAAAAAAAATTTTTTTTATTTACATTATATATATATATATATATATATATATATATATATGGAGCATGTTGATATGGTGCAATTGATTAGAAAAGCTTGTGTCACTAGATCAATTACTACTGAGGAGTGAGTTCAATTCTCACTTGGTGCTCCATACTTTTGGCCTTGTGTCACATCTAAGCTTAGCTTAGTAAATCACTAATATATATAATACAGTTTGTTGCTTAGGTGATTAGTGTTACATTCAGCATCGTGACTTCAGAGTTTTGTAGACTGACCCTCCAGCAATCACTCCATCCACTCATCAGAGGGTATTAACATGTATATGATTAAATAAGAGACAAGTAGGAAAATTTCATAAATTTAATATTTTGCTATTTAATTTGTTTTTTCAGAAATTTTTTGTGGAAGTTGTTTCAATTTTTAAATTGTTTTTTCATTGCTTACCCAAGTCAATACCATTCACAAATCTTGCTGAAAACACTGAAGTTAAGCAATGTTTAGCCTGGTCAATACTTAGATGGATGACTGCTTGGAACCTCCTACAATCTGAAATAGATTTTGTCCTTAAATAACTAGCAAAGGGTTGATAATCTGTAAAAAAAAAAAAACAACAAATCCATGAAAACCACACAGATTTTGAAAAAGGCATAACCAAACAAAACCACAAAGAATTTAAAAGTTGAAAAATAACTGTGCATTATTTTTCTCCACAAAACTTTTGAACCTAAATTATGTAAAAAAAAATGTTCTTGTTCCTTATTTAATCATTCTGTTATATTTAATTCATATTTTTCTCTCTCTCTCTCTCTCTCTCTCTCACACGTTTTATTAAAAATACTGACAGGGTCTGTCTGTCCACCTTAGTTTTTCTAAGTTGTTTTGTCAGAATTAACTTTCCAAAGTTCATTTATTGTATCCATCTGAGAACTTATGACTGTTACTACAGCATTTCTAAGCCTGCTGAAATCAATTTCAAGTTGCTTAGAGATAACATCTTTTACAACAGTTAGTTTCCATAGGAGATCATATATTGAAGTGTGTATTATGAGAAAAAAAAATGAATTCCAGAAGGCTTAGAAATGCTGGTATTTGCAAAATTATGCAATTCTAATAAAGCATAAATCCAGTAACTTTGATAATGACTGAAGTGGCAGTCAAAAGTACTTGGATGGATACATTAAAAGAACCTTGGAAAGTTAATTCTAACATAAAACAACTTAGTTGGACAAACAGACGTTGTCGGTATTGTTTAAAAAAACTTATTTGAAAGAATTCTTGCTGTCTAAATACACCACACACACATATATATATATATATATATATATATATATATATATATAGTGGGAGGAAACAAATATTCGTACACATACAAATTTTTAATTTATTGTATTTCCAACTAATGAATGAACATACTTTTCATATAATTAACTGTAGACAGATGCCTAATAACTAAATATGCATAGAAAACAAAAGAATTTGATTTAATAGAAATCCCATTTATCCATTTTAATAGGTGAAAAAATATTTGTACAATACAAAAAAAAGGAATACATGACCTTCATTTAATACTTTGTAGAATAGCTATTTTCACTTCTACAGCAACCAACCTCTTGTAGTTCTCAATGATTTGCAATTTTAAGTTGGTTTTTTGTTCCATTCTTCTTCAGATATGGTCTTCAGATTTGTGATGTTTGTTTCAGCTCTCAATTGGATTTAAATTTTCAAATAATGCCCCACATTCTTGATTGGGTTTAAATCTGGGGACTGACATGGCCATTTCAGGATATTTACATTATTTTTAGCAAGCCATTTCTTTGTAGATTTTGCACTAGATCATTTCTAGAATTACATCCAAACAACTCAATTTTGGTTTGTTTGTCCATAATACTCTTTCCCAATACGATTTTTCCTTGTTCTTATGTTCACAAACAAATTTCAAGCTGGTATCTCCGTGTCTTTTCAATAGCAGTGGAGTTTTCCAAGAGGAGCATGACTTTAGATTGTTCTTATAAATTTCATTGCTTATTGTCCGATTAGTGACACAGACTCCTCATGAAAGCAACTCTTGACAAGTAACCATTGGATTTTGTTTAATTTGACATTAACTTCCTTGAAGATCTTGAAGAAATCTTCAGTGGAGCACCTGTTCTTCTTTGGTTTTCAACAGTTTTGAGTTTTTTTATACCTTGCAATGAATGAACTAATGTTAGTAAATGGAATATTCAGGTTGTTTGAGATTTTCCTGTAACTTTTTACCTTCTTTCCAGAGCTTAACAATAAGTTCTTTTTGTGAATTTGTCAATTCTATACCTCTTGCCATGATGATAATCTTCTTGCACGAATATAAATTACAGAATGTTCTGATTGTATTTTTAGGTTAAAAATAACTACTGATAACATTATTAGAACATTCTAGAATATTCCACTTCAATAATCTAGAGTATTAAAGCAATTTAAAAGTTTAAAAATCTGAAATTTGCATTGTACGAATAATTTTTTTCACTCATTAGAATAGATAAATGGGATTTATTTCTATTAAATCAATTTTTTTTGTTTTCTACACACATTTAGTTATTATGCATCTGTCCAGTTAATGATATGAAAAGTATGTTTATTCATTAGTTGGAAATACAGTAAATTAAAAAATTCGTATGTGTACGAATATTTGTTTCCCCCCCACTGTGTGTATTTCAATATATATATATATATATATATATATATATATATATATATAAATTAGCATACATTAAGTAAGAGAAGATGTTATAATTTTGTAAGTATTCACTAAGTAAATTTTTATATGAAAAAATTTTTTAATTTTTTTAATCTCTGGGAATTTTTTTTTTTTTTTTGTGATTTTGTTAATGACTTTTTAAAAATGAATTTGACTTAAACTTTTGTCTTTTTTTTTTTTTTTTCAGTAGAATCATGTTTGTTTTTTTTTGGGTTTTTTTTCAATAACTTTTAAATACAATTAGTTCAGTTAAAAATCTGGTTCTTTTTTCATTATTTTTTTTTTTAATTCAGTTCAGTTTTTATTTTATCAATATTTCTTTTGAAAAATTTTATTTCACCTCTCCATCCTCATTTTTTTATTTTCATTTTTGTTAAATTTTATGTATACATTATGCTATATATATTTTAAAATATGTAATTATGTCCCAATTCAAATCATTTCTGTACTTTTTTATTTTTTCCATCTCCCAAGTTTTTTCTTAGGTTTTCACACATTTTTATCTTTTTTTAGAAATTTTAACAATTTTTTTGCCACCTTTGTTGTTTTTTTTTTTTTTTTGTTTTTTTTTTTTTTGTTTTGTTTTTTGTTTTTTGTTTTTTTTTAATTTCATCTCCAAAGTAGACTTATTTCTGTAATAAAAACATTTTAGTCCTTTATGACCCTTTTCAAATCTAGACTTATCATTTTGGTGATGACCATTTTGTACATTTTAGTGTTTTGTAACCATTTTTTTTTTTTTTTTTAAGATTTTGTTATGTTCATTAAAAGTAATTTTGTTTCCTTCATTTTCATTTGAATCTGACACTTCAACTATTTCATTAAAATTCCAACAACACGATAAAAAAAAAAATCAAACAAATTGGGATTTTTTCAAACCAGTGTTATAAAGAATATAAACTAGTTCACAGTGAATAAATATCTATCAGTTTTACTGTGTATCTGTGCCCCTTGCTGAATTGTGTGCATTAGGCGTGGCCAAAGTGGACAGCGGTCAAGTAAGTAACAAACTTCTCCATCCTATTGCTAACCCTCTGTCCATCAAAGGTCAGTGCATGCTTCATAAAAAGACTGGCCTTAAGTTTGGCCAGCCAGTGTAAGCTGACCACTAGCATTCTGTTGTAGTTCATTTCAGATGATTTGTCTAATTAGTTTTTGCTTATTAATTTATAGATAGTTTTTCTAAACACTTAGTTAATGTTTGTTGTCAAGCTGTTTTGTTTATTCGGTAGCATGAAGCTTAAATTTAAACAATCTGTAAGAAGTGCACAGTAGTTTCTGTACCTTATTTATGATTAGTAAAAGTACAAAAAAAAATTGTCTTTTTTAAAGAAAAAGCAAGTGTTATTTAAGAGCTGTATTTAGATTCATTATTTATTTGTAAATTGAAATTTAATACTGGAAATATTCAAAATGCACGTAATTTTTCTGGTACAGTCATTCAATAAATTATGGTTGTTAGGCAAGATATTGATAACCTTTTATCACATATAGAGGTGGCAAAATTTTAGAAAAATCTATTGATAATTTTCAGAGATACTAATTGTTGTTGGAAAAGAAGTCATTTTAAAAATTAATAAAAATCTTAAAATATATTGAGAAATTTATGAAAATTAAGTTCTAATTGCACTTATTAAGCAGGATTTCCTGAAGAATTCTTGGTTTAAATTTTATTTGCAAAGTGATTAAATTAGATATCTGTTAAAAAAATCTTAAACATGAAAAAACAAAT